TCCTGCGTCTGCACTCTGACAGAGGTGGTGAGTTTTCCTCCGATCTCTTGAGGACCTTCTGTCAGGCGGAGGGCATCGAGCAGACCTTCACGCTTCCGGACTCCCCACAGCAGAATGGGGTTGCTGAGCGCCGCATTGGCCTGGTCATGGAGGTCGCTCGTACCTCCTTGGTCCACGCGGCGGCTCCCCATTTTCTGTGGCCGTTTGCTGTCCGGTACGCCGCGCATCAGCTCAACCTCTGGCCCCGTGTCTCCTTGCCGGAGACGTCGCCCACACTGCGTTGGACGGGGGAGGTTGGCGATGCGTCGCGCTTCCGGGTGTGGGGTGCTCGTGCCCTTGTCCGCGATACGTCCGCGGACAAGCTCTCCTCCCGCACGCTTCCCTGTGTCTTCCTTGGCTTTGTCCCTGATGCGCCTGGCTGGCAGTTTTACCACCCCACCTCGCGCCGGGTCTTCGCCTCTCAGGATGTCACCTTTGACGAGTCGGTCCCTTTTTACCGTCTCTTCCCCTACCGCACTGCCCCCCTCCCTCCCCCGCCACTTTTCCTTGCTCCTGGTCCCCCTCCGGTAGACCCCCTTCCCCCTCAGGGTCCTGCTCCTTCAGGTGTCTCTCAGGTAGACCCTCCTCCCGTCGCTGAGCCTGTCGAGGTCACAGGTGACTCAGGTGCTGCTGCGGGTGGTGCTGCTGGGAGTGCTGAGCCTGGGGGTGCTGAGCCTGGGGGTGCTGGGCCTGGGGGTGCTGGGGCTGCGGGTGCTGGGACTGAGGGTGCTGGAGCTGAGGGTACGGTGCCTGAGAGTACGGAGCCTGGGAGTGCTGAGCCTGGGGGTGCTGAGCCTGCGGGTGCGGGGCCTGGGAGTGCTGGGACTGCGGGTGCTGGAGCTGAGGGTACTGTGCCTGAGAGTTTGCCGCCTGGGGGTGCTGAGCCTGCGGGTACTGAGCCTGCGGGTACTGAGCCTGGGGGTGCTGCTACTGAGCCTACGGAGCCTCGGGTTACTGCGTCTGGGGGTGCTCCGGTTCGGGGTGCTGAGCAGTCTCTCACACCGCAGCAGCTTCGTGACTGGTACGTCCGGCGCTTTCGCCGTCCTAGTGGCTCGGCTGGAGTTGGGGGTGCTGGGGCTGCTCGTCCTGGGGGTGCTCGTACTGGGGGTACTGGAGCTACCGGGACTGGTTGTTCTGGGAGCACTGCGACTGGAGCTGCTGGAGCTGGGGACTCTGGCGCTGGCGGTGCTAGCGGAGTTGGAGCTGCCGACTCTGGGGGTGGCGCTGCTGCTGGTGCTGCGGACCCGCCTGGTGGAGCTGCTGCTGGAGCTGAGGACCCGAGCGGTGGCGCTGCTGCTGGTGCTGGGGACCCGGACGTTGGAGCTCCTGCTGGTCCTGAGGACCCGGCCGCTGGAGTCTCTTCTGCTTCTGGAGACGCTGCGCGGCCGCGACCGTACTTCGTACCGCTCCTTCAGCAGGTTCTTGGGCAGGCTCCTCCTCCTTGTCCTCCTCCCTCCGTAGAGTGTCCTCCGCCTGTCCAGCCGCAGTCACAGTTCCCGCCTGCCTCGCCTCTCCCTGCTCCCTCTCCTTACGCTGGTCCCACAGGAGGTCTTACAGAGCGTCGTGAGCCTGAGTCTCGTCCTGCGTCGCCTGTTCGTCCTGCTCGCACTGGTAGTCGTGTCCGTCGTGAGCGTCCTCCTCCTGTCCCAGGCACTCACTACATGACTCTGCGTCCCTCTACTGCTCCTCGGCGTGTCCCTCTACCGTCTCCTCCTGCGTCCTCTTTGCCTGCCGTTCTGGACCCTGAGTCTGACCGGTATCGCGCTGAGCACCCTACTGTCACGCGTCTCCTAGCTACTGTTGTCACTGACCCTACCTTTGCGTCCTCGGCTGCGTCTGCTCTGGTCACTGAGTTGGTTGACTTTGCTGCAGCCTGTCGTCTAGACTACGCTGCTAGCCTTGTTGCTGAGTCCGAGTCTGCGTCTGTCTGTCCTCCGTCCGTCGGGGGTGAGTGTGCTCTTGGCACGGACGTCCTTGAGGACAGGCAGGAGGACTTTGACTCTCTTGCGGCTGCTGTACCTCATCTCGTGGCCTGGTTGCTTGCCCCTGAGGGAGACCCGGATGCACTAGACATCCCCACTCCGCGCACTTACGCAGAGGCGATCTCGGGTCCCTACTCCTCTCAGTGGCAGACAGCCATGGATGCAGAGATGGCATCCTGGAAGTCCACAGGCACCTACGTCGACGAGGTTCCCCCTCCTGGGGCGAACATCGTCGATGGCATGTGGATTTTCAGGGTGAAGCGGCCGCCAGGTTCTCCGCCTGTCTTCAAGGCTCGTTACGTTGCTAGAGGCTTCAGTCAGCGTCAGGGGGTCGACTTCTTCCAGACCTTCTCCCCCACCTCGAAGATGACCACTCTTCGGGTTCTGCTGCACGTTGCTGCTCAGCGTGACTACGAGCTTCACTCTCTTGACTTCAGCACAGCGTTCCTGCAGGGCAGCCTGCACGAGGAGATCTGGCTGCGCCGCCCACCTGGCTTTACTGGGTCGTTTCCCCCTGGTACCCAGTGGAGTCTCCGCCGGCCAGTCTACGGTCTCCGCCAGGCGCCACGTGAGTGGCACGACACACTGAGGACTACACTTGCGGCTCTTGGGTTCGCGCCGTCTACTGCTGACCCGTCGCTGTTTCTGCGCACAGACACGTCGCTGCCGCCGTTCTACATCCTCGTGTACGTCGACGACTTGGTCTTTGCTACTGCTGACACAGAGGCACTCGCTCGTGTGAAGTCGGAGCTGCAGAAGAGACACACCTGCACTGACCTGGGTGAACTGCGTAGCTACCTTGGCTTGCAGATCACCCGGGACAGAGCTCGCCGCACCATCACCCTGACTCAGTCACACATGGTGCAGCAGGTCCTTCAGCGCTTCGGCTTCCAGTTCTCCTCACCACAGGCCACACCTCTGGCTACCAGCCACTCGCTCTCAGCTCCACCTTCGGACGAGTCCGTAGAGCCGAGTGGCCCGTACCCAGAGCTTGTAGGCTGCCTCATGTACCTGATGACTTGCACGCGACCTGACCTCGCGTACCCTCTTAGCATCCTTGCTCGTTACGTTGCGCCTGGGAGACACAGGCGAGAGCACTGGGAGGCTGCTAAGAGGGTGCTGCGTTACTTGTGCAGTACATCAGGCATGGGGCTGGTGCTTGGAGGACGCGACAGAGTTGTCCTCACTGGTCACTCGGACGCTTCTTGGGTGGACGACCTGGCTACGCAGCGGTCGTCACAGGGTTACACCTTCAGCCTTGGCTCTGGTTCTGTCTCGTGGCGGTCCACTCGCTCTTCCTCTGTTCTCGGCTCTAGTTGTGAGGCTGAGATCTACGCCACAGCCATGGCTGCACAGGAGTTATGCTGGCTCACCTACCTGCTGACTGACTTGGGAGAGCGGCCTAGTTCTCCTCCAGTTCTGTACGGTGACAACAAGGCGGCTCTTGCCTTGTGTCAGGAGCACAGACTGGAGCACAGGACGAAGCACATTGCTCTTCGCTACTTTCTTGCTCGAGAGCTTCAGCAGCGCGGTCAGCTTCGGCTTGTGTACGTGGACTCGAAGGCCAACACTGCTGATATCTTCACCAAGGCGCTCCCGCCTAGTGATCATCAGCGGCACTGTACTTCTTTAGGCCTTGTGTCCACGTTTCCTCACTTGCTCACTGCTTGACATTCTTTGTACTGTACTTTATATATATCTTGTTGCTTGCTTGCTAGGTTTTGATCACTGTGTTGCTTGTCTTGTACTATATCTAGCACTGCATGTGAACTGGCCTTGTGGCCTTTACTTGTGCTCGGAGTGTGGTGACGTTGTGATCCACCCTGGGCTTTGCTTTGCTTTGTTGGACTGGTCTTGTGACCCTTTGTTCTCCCCCACTTTGCCTATGGGGGTGTGTTAAACTCTATTATGCTTGTAGGCTGTAGTGGGGTAGCCAATATGGGGTACAACCCCAACTAGGGTTTCATATTTGTACCCAAACTCCTGCTAGTTCATTTCATTCTTGCCTAGTTATCTTGAGACTCGCTGCCTATCTTCTTCTTCGAAGCCGCGTGTGAGCTCCTCCAACGGATTGCCGCTCACCGCTTGACCAGTGCTCTCGCCTTCTTCAGCGGGCGACTCCTGGCGCGCTTCACCTCGCGCCTGGCGTAGCTCGTTGTTTTCTTCACGTAGTCTCTCCACTTCTGTCGTTAACGCCTTCATGCCTGCCGACATTTCTGCCACTTGCTGCATAAGTTTGTTGAACGCCTCCTGGTCCATGAGTCGCAAGCTACGTCTAACAGGCAAGTGGGTCTCCGTGACTATCCGGCAACAGTGCAAGCGCAAAAGCTATCGGAGTCGGGCAAGTTTAATTTAATAAACTTTGCAACCAACCGCTTTGCAGCCCACCGTACCAGTCACAAACGTGCCACTAAACTACCCTGGAAAAGCGGGGTGAACTAGGAAAGTAGCTCTGATACCAGGTGTTATGAGTTGTCAAACAGAGTTGCGCGGAATAACGAATAACGAGGCTGTGACTCAATGAACTGACGATACAATGAAAGGCATGCGATTATATAGCGAGGCAACCTAGCTAGGCGGGAACCTCGAGAATACGATGTTGAGTGCAGGTTGGGCAAAGGAAAACCGAAGGCGACGCGAGGTTGCTTCGGCAGCAAGCAAAGCGGCCGAACGTGCACTTCCGAAAGTTGGGGTTGTACGCGGTTGAGTAAACCCCAGTAAGGAACAAGACTCGACGTTGACGTCGGACGGGTTGCGTAGATGCTACATTCCTTATCGTAGATGTTACATTCCTAATTGCCAAAAAAAAAAGAGGACGTGCAATTTTTTTCCTTTTTTTTAGCGCCAAATTTAGGTCTACCGTATTGAATAATACGGCAAATGCTTCTTGATGGGTGCAATGTATTCGTTTCAACGTGTGTGTTTATGATTTTTAAACATTAAGACACATTGATCGTTTTTTATATGCAGTGAACAAAGATGATACTTTGTATTGTACCATTGCACTATTTATAGTGAGTTGTTTCAAGCGCAGTCAGTGTCACGTGATTGTACGTGTGTTTTCACGTGACAGTCCCACCCACCTGTTGCCTCTCCCTCCCACCCACCTCGTCATAGCAGCATCTACCTCCACCCCACCATCTTCTCTTTCCCACCGCGCCGTCCTCTCTCCCTCCCACCCGCCGTCGCCTCCCACCCGCCGTCGCCTCTCCTTCCTACCCGCCGTCGCCGCTCCCTCCTCCGGCCGTCGCCGCTCCCTCCCACCCTGCCGTCGGCTCTCCCTCCTACCCCGCCGTTGCCTCTCCTTCCCATTCCGTCGTCGCCTCTCCCTCACATTCCGCCATCGCCTCTCCCTCCACCGTCGCCTCTCTCTCCGCCGTCGCCTCTCCCTCCGCCTTCGCCTCTCCCTCCGCCGCCGCCTCTCTCTCCGTCGTCGCCTCCCCTTCCGCCCTCGCCTCCCCCTCCGCCGTCGCCTCCCCCTCCGCCGTCGCCTCTCCCTCCGCCGTCGCCTCTCCCTCCGCCGTCGCCTCTCCCTTCGCCGTCGCCTCGCCCTCCCCATCGTCGCCTCCCTCCCTTCCCGTCGTCGCATTCCCTTTTCTTCCCGCCGTCGCCTCTGGCGACAGGCGCACAAGTGGAGCGCGGGTTGGTGCGCGACCGCCCTTGGTGCGCGACCGCGGGTTTGTGCACGTCCGCGGCTTGGTGCGCCACCGCGGGTTGGTTTCTCAGGTTCGTTACCCTTTCCCGGTCCCTTTTTTCTCCCCTACGCCTCTGAGTTTCCATGCCCGTTTCTGCTTTTTTCTTTGATTTTGTGTGTCGATTGATCTTTTGTTCCATTGCATTTTCATTTGAAGAAGAGGAGAGTGTGCACGGGAGCGAGCGCGCCGAGAGTGCGTGTGAGAGTGCACGTGAGAGAGCGAGTAAGAGTGCGCATGGGAGTGCGCGTGAGAGAGCACATGAGGGAGCGTGTGAGAGTGCGCGCGAGAGAACACGTGAGAGAGCGCGTGAGAGACTGAATTAGAGTGCGTGTTAGGGAGCGCGTGAGGGTGCGCTTGAGAGTGCGCGTGAGAGTGCGCGTGAGAGTGCGCGTGAGAGTGCGCGTGAGAGTGCGCGTGAGAGAGCGCGTGAGAGTGCGCGTGAGAGAGCGCGTGAGAGAGCGCGTGAGAGAGCGCGTGAGAGAGCGCGTGAGAGTGCGCGTGAGAGTGCGCGTGAGAGTGCGTGTGAAAGAGCGTGTGAGAGAGCGCGTGAGATTGCACGTGAGGGAGTGCGTGAGAGAGCGAGTGAGAGTGTGCACAGGAGTGCGCGTGAGAGAGCGCGTGAGAGTGCGCGTGAGAGTGCGCGTGAGAGTGCGCGTGAGAGTGCGCGTGAGAGAGCGCGTGAGAGAGCGCGTGAGAGAGCGCGTGAGAGAGCGCGTGAGAGAGCGCGTGAGAGTGCGCGTGAGAGTGCGCGTGAGAGAGCGCGTGAGAGTGCGCGTGAGAGTGCGAGTAAGAGAGCGCGTGAGAGAGCGAGTGAGAATGCGCGTGCGAGAGCGAGTGAGAGTGCACGTGGGAGTGCGCGTGAGAGTGCGCGTGAGAGTACATGTGAGAGAGCGCGTGAGAGAGCGCGTGAGAGCGAGTGAGAGAGCGAGTGAGAGAGAGAGTGAGAGTGCAAAATACACATACACAAATGAGAGAGCGCCTGAGACAGCACGTGAGAGAGCGAGAGAGAGAGCACGAGAGTGCGCTCTAGAGTGCGCCCGAGAGAGCGCGCGAGAGAATGCGCGGTAGAGTGCATGCGAGAGAGTGCGTGGGAGAGTGCATGCGAGAGAGTGCGCGGGAAAGAGCGCGAGAAAGTGCGCGAAAGTTCGCGCGAGGGAGCACGCGATCGGATGCGTGAGAGTGCGCAAGAGAGAGCGCGTGTGAGTGCGTTCTAGAGTGCGCGCGAGAGAGCGCGCAGGAGAGTGCGCGAGAGTTTGTGCGAGGGAGCGCGCGAACGAGCACGCGAGAGGGAGCGCATGAGGGAGCGCGTGTGGGAGCGTGTGAGGGAGCGCGCGTGAGTGAGAGCGCGTGACGGTGCGCGTGAGAGCGAGCTCGAGAGTGTACTCGAGAGAGCGCGAGAGAGCGCGTGAGAGTGCTGGTGTGAGTGCGAGGGTGAATGCGAGTGAGTGCGGGTGAGTGTGTAAGGCTGAGCGCGATGGTGCGGTTGTGATTGCAGTGGTGAGAGCGAAGGCGAATGCAAGTATGATTCCAAGCGTGAGTGCGTGCATGTGTGAGGATGAGGGTAAGGGTGATTGTGAAGGTGAATGCAAGGGTGGGTGCAAAGTATTGCATGCATTCTGGCGTGGTATGTGTGACGCCATAATGTCTACTATCAAGTCACCTTTATAAGATGTCAAATTTGACTGTTTTCATCACTCATCTTTTGTTTGTATATTGCATTCTTCAGTGCCAATTTCTGTTGCGCTTACTTTGTTTTTTAGTGCATCGATCTTGCTTTCTTGTGCAACTCATGCAAGTTGTATTCTCTGATTTTATTTTTGTTTGTGCAGGGAGTGAATTGCATTCGCTGTTTCTTTCCTGTGCAGGGAGTTCAAGCTGCAGCCTTTGTTTCTTGCGGAGAAAAGGGAGGGGGGGAAGGGAGATGAGGGAGGGGGGGAGGGAGGGAGGGAAGGGAATGGGGGACAGGCTAGGCTGGTGTTGATTTTTTACAAGGCTGAACTTCATTCATTATGCTTGCATGCTGATAACCGTAGCTGTATGTTTTTGTGTTGTGTCTGCCTGTGTATGTGTGAGCCTGTATGTGTGTGAATCAGGCCCTCAGAAGTCAGAGAAAAAAGGCTGATTAGGGGTAAAAAGGCTGAGTTTCCAGTGCTGGGAAGGAGGTTGGGGCTGATGTGTCAGCTTTTTTTTACTTGTATGGGCTGATTTTTCAGCAATTTTCTCATTGTATGGGCTGATATTTCATAGTTTTTTTACATGTGCTCACTGACTGATCAGCGGTGTAACAGGGGTGTGACTGAAATCCCACTACACCTGGGCTCCAATAATTTCATTCCCCCTAATTGCAAGGCCCCTGTCGTCATCTGTGGCTCCTGGTTGAGAGCGGTTCGGTCCTCCCAACAACCCTCCGATACCTTTAACCGAATAAAACCGCTTTCGCTCCGTTCAGAAGAGTCCGAAACCCCGAAATCTTTCGTGAGAGTGTTGAAATTAGAGGGAACTTTTTTGTTCCCCCCAATTTCAACCCCAGGGCAAAACGACAAGGACGCGGCTCGGTGCCCACATTCTGAAATTACCGGAGCCCAGGTGTAGTGGAGATTCGTGTACTGTAGTGCCGAGAATTTCGGATTCCTAGGTTCGCCCGTCCCTGGTTTCCGGATGCAAGTGTTGCGGCTTGACTCGTCACTGCAGATTCGCCCTAACTCAGCAAATTCGCCTTTGGAACAGCAAATTTGCCCCAACAGAGCAGATATTCGCCGCGTCAGAGCACAACAATTTCGTCCAATCACATGAAATTCGCTCTGACACAGCATGCTCTACAGCTGATGCTCACCCCATGCACGCGAATTTGCCTTGCGCCGGATGGATACGCTGCACCCGAGGTTGTTTCCCCAGCCTCATGCACCTACATTACAAGCGCGTCGCGTGGTTATCAACCAGTAGTAACGAACAGACCGACGTCAAACTAGGTACAGACCGAAGTCAAGCAGAGGAGACTGAAGTCAAACTAGGTTACAGATCTTGTTTATAAGCACATGCGAATCATTTTTAGCTAGCTGCGAATTGCCGAAACTTATGCGAAATGCTCGTGACAGCTTATACGCCCCCTTCGTAAGGCAACCGGGAGGGGCTCAAACAGGCATCAGGTGTACCAGAAATTCGCCTTGACAATCATAGGAAATTCGCCTATCGCGCACACTGTTGTCGTCGACTGAGGTGTGTGTGTGTGTGTGCGAAGCTGTGTTGGCACGTCGTGTGCACTGTTGGCAACACGTCGCGTGCCCTTTAATAAATGCCACACTTTGAATAACTGTCGCGCTATAGGAAAGCTTGAAGTTATGTTCAGCCTTTCTTTCTAAGCAAGGCTGAATGATCAGCCATTTCTCTAAACTATACACTGAAATTTCAGCTTATTTTTCCAAGGCTACCCTGATTGACCAGCCTTCCGCTCACTCCCAAGGCTGACGATTCAGCCTAGACCAAAATAAATCTGAGGCCCTTGTGTGAATGCGTACATGTGCGTGCATACGTACATGTTGTGTGCGTTTTAAGGTATGGTGCTAAGTGCCTCGTGAATGCAACTCGGATTGTGATCGTCGGTGAGGCAGCATTGCTAGCCTCTTCCGTACCATATCAATCTTAGTTGCAGCATTGATGCATTTAGCATTCGCCTTGAAACATTCTCCCATTGTTGTCCGTCGTCTGTTTTTGTACCGGATTGTTATTGTCTGTGCTTGTTTCGGGGTGTGGTGCAAAGTGCCTCGTGTATGCAACTGGAGTTGTGATCGTCGGTGGGGCAGCTTTGCTTGCCTCTTCCGTACCATATCAATCCCAGTTGCTGCATTGATGCATTCTGTATTCCCCTCAAAACATGTACGGTAGAACTGTTTTTGTACATGTTCGTTTTTGTGGTCATTTGTGTGTGTGTATCTTTAGATTCGTGTGTCTTTTAGTGTCACCATTAGTGCTAGAAAGATTGTCCAATTATTCCATTCGCCGTACTTATCGACGATTATAAATTATTAGACACATTTGGTTTCACATGGGGTAATTTACATGAACAGTGTTCTCTTCCAGAATTTTGGAGGGAAAAAATCACTGTTCACGTCAGTTCCCCGAAAAGTGAAACCTTATGTATAAGGTTGCTACGCGACCCAAAAAGGGTTTTCCTTACATTAGGAACTTGGAAAACCGGTTACGCGATTACAACGCCCAACCCCCCAGTTGACAGGCGAAGTGAGTCCCCAAACGCCCCACGTCCGGCTCCCCGCACTCACAGTTCAAAACCTTAGGAATTGCAAAAGGAAACTGAAACTGCAGTATTGAGAGGAAAGCCCACGCGCTCCTACTTCGGTAGGTTATTCCCCGTAGGCTAGGCAACGTTCTAACTGTCAAACATTATATATGTTGTGTTTGTTTAGGCTACAGTGGGTTAGCCTATAGGGGGTACACAATTCTAGGGTTTGGTACTTGTACTGCTTTCACTCATAGTTCAATCATTCCAGTCCGTTATTACTGACATGGTATCAGAGCAGGTCCTTCGCTAGGACCGTTCTTAGGGCCCACCGTTACCTACATACCTACCTACCTACTGTGCGCCTCGTGCGCCTACGCGCCCTCGTGCGCCTCCTACCTACCGCGCGCGCGCAGCCCGCCAGCCGCCCGCGCGCGACTCGACTTTTTTTTTTAGCGCGCGTGTCCCGCTACCCGCCCGCGCGCGGTCGATTTCGCTGCGCGCGCCCCGCTAGCCGCACGCGCGCGGCTGTTTTTTTTTTTGTTTTCTTTACGCGCGGCCCCGCACGCTGCCCGCGCGCTGCCTGTGCGCCTCGCTGACGCGCCCGCTGCTGCAGCCGCCCGTCGCCCGCTCGCGCACACCCCGCCGTGGCCCCGCAGGCCCGCAGCTCGCCGCCGCAGCTGCCGCACGCCCGTTGCCCGCAGCCGCCCGTCCGCCGACGCCGCTGCCGCCCGTGCACCGACGCCGCTGCCACCCGTGCGCTGCTGCCGCTGCTGCTTGCGCACCGCTCGCTGCTGCAGCCGCCCGTGCGCTGTCGGCGCTGCTGCCCGTGCGCCTCTGCAGCCGCCGCCCGCGAGTCGCCCGCTACCGCTAGTGCGCCGCAGGCCCGCAGCCGCTGCCGCTCGCGCACGCCCCGCAGGCCCGCAGCCCGCCGTCGCAGCGGCCGCCCGCCCGCAGCCGCTCGTCGCCTGCTCGCACACCCCCCGCTGCCCGCAACCGCTTGTACGCCGCTGCTTCCGCTGCTGCTTGCGCACCGCTGCCTCCCGAGCGCCACCGCTGCCCGTGCGCCGCCGCTGCCCGTGCACTGCCGTTCCCCGTGCGCCGCTGCCGCCCGTGCGCTTCTGCAGCCGCTGCCCGCGAGGCACTCGATCTCACTGCTGTTTATTTTCTACCTACCACGCTTCCTACTACTACTGTTACTACTGCCACTACTACTACTGCTACTGTCACTATGGCTAGTCCGCCAGTTCTAGCTTTCGATGCCGAGGGCCGTCCAGTGAAGTTCGAAACCTGGCTCGATGACCTGCACCTGTTCCTACAGCTCACTGCCAAGGAAGATATCTCACTGTACGACCATGCCCTAGGCCATGCCACTGCCCCTGACTCGTCTGCTGACAGCACTCTGCGTTCCTAGTGGCAGACCCGTGATGCGCACGCTCGCTTTGCTATTCGCAACTCCCTGCCGATAGATGAGCGCGAGCACTTCGGCCAGTGCAAGACTGCTAAGGACCTCTACACCGCTGTAGTTGCCCGCTACTCCTCACCCGCTTCTGCCACGCTAGGCCGCCTCACTCTCCCCTACCTGTTCCCCGACCTAGCCTCCTTTCACACTGTCGCAGACCTCATCACCCACCTTAAGACTAGTGAGGCCCGCTTTCGCGCTGCTATGCCTGCCGAGTTTCTCACTAGCAACCCCCCCCGCTCTGGATCACTCTCTACCACATCGTCACCCGCCTCCCTGACTCTCTGCGCGCAGTCAGGGACCACTTCCTCTCTCGCTCCCCCACTGAGCTCACTGTTGCCCTCCTCGAGAAGGAACTGCTTGCAGCTGAGGCGAGCATCGTCGCTGTAGGCACCTCTCGTGGCGACCCCCGCACCCCGTTCTTTGAGGGGTGTTCCCCTTCCCCCCTCCTCCCCTCTGTCGCCTCTGCTGCTGCTGTCGACCTTCTTGGTGCTGAGAAGGTCGGGACCGCGTCTGCTTCGAGCGGGCGCCGCAGGAACAAGGGGGGCAGGGGTGGGGGTGGTGGCGGAGGAGGTGGGGGTGGAGGCGGTGGGAGTGGAGGCGCGGCTGGGGAGACTAGTGGCGGCAGTGGGGGAGGAGACAGCAGCGGTGGGAGTGGTGGTGGAGGCGGCAGCGGAGGCGGAGGTGGTCGTGGCGGCGGCAGGGGTGGAGGTGGCCGGGGTGGCGGCGGTGGGGGTGGTGGTCGTGGAGGCACTGGCGGTGGCCAGAGTCAGCAGCCCGCCCCGACGCTTCAGGCCGCCCGTGAGTGGTATGCGCAGCGTAGCGTTACCTGCACGTACGTCATTCGCACA